TTGTTGGCTTATTGGGGGTCCCCAACCATTTTTCTTCCCTGTCCTTTTTGCACCCTGTAGTATGAACAAGAAATCCAGCAACGTCAGAATGAAGCTTCGCGGGAGGTCTCGGAAGAGGAGAAAAGATAGAGAAAGAAGCTCAAACAGATTCAGGTGGACATGGACAGCAAGCAGGGAGAGATGAAGGCCCTGCAGCAGTACATGCACAAAGAGCAAGGAGAGCTTCAGAGGCTGGAGCAGCAGCTGGAAGGAGCAGAAGGTGAGTCAGGTGTGGGTTATACTGGGCGCCATTGCAGAAAAACTGAGAAAAACCAAGAATGGCACCTTTGTTCATGGCCCACTTGCACATTTTGCATTTTCTTGGAAAGCAGCAAACTCTCTTCACCACTGATGTTGGTTACATAACACTGCAATTTGGTCTTTGAGCAGCTCTTTTAAGGCAGTTATGCCCTCCCTTTTCCCCAGCTCCAACAGGTTAATTAATTTCTTTTTAACCTTTTATTGCTTAGTAATATACACAGAGAAAAGTGTATGTGGCACAAGTGTGCAGCTTGATGAATTTTCACCACTCAAAACATCTTGGCCATCTGTACCCAGCCTGAGACATAGAACATTGCCAGCCCCAAGAAGCCCCTATCACCCTCCCATTCATCCTTCCCCCCAAAGGCCACCTGTATCCTGAATTCTAAGCAGAGATTAGTTTTGCCTGTTTTTGTACTTAAAGAAATGAAATATTACAGGATTTACTCTTTCTGTCTAGCTTCTACTACATTCTGTTTGTGAGATTCAGTTATGTTGTTGCCATGTAGTTATAGACCCTTGATGTCCAATATGGCAGCCACTATCTGCATGTGGCTATTTAAATCCACTGATAATATTAGCAGAGATAGGGAACATTTACATCATTGCAGAAAGTTCGTTGGACAGAGCTCAGTGACCATTCACTCTCATTGCTGTAGTATATTCCATTGGATGAGGATAACATAATTTATTATTTATTTATTTTTTTTTGAGACAGAGTCTCGCTTTCTTGCCTAGGCTAGAGTGAGTGCCGTGGCGTCAGCCTAGCTCACAGCAACCTCAAACTCCTGGGCTCAAGTGATCCTCCTGCCTCAGCCTCCCGAGTAGCTGGGACTACGGCACAAGCACCATGCCCGGCTGATTTTTTATATATATATATTAGTTGGCCAATTAATTTCTTTCTATTTTTTATGGTAGAGACGGGGGTCTGCGCTCGGAGGTTGGTTTTGAACTCCTGACCTTGAGCAATCCGCACGCCTCGGCCTCCCAGAGTGCTAGGATTACAGGCGTGAGCCACCGCGCCCGGCCCATAATTTATTTTTAACAGGTTTATTTTTAAGTTTCAAGTTTAGGAAACCATACTCAGCCTTTATGCACTTTTAATATGGCACTTTTAAAAAAATTAACATCCTTCCTTTTATAGTACTTTAAGGTAACACAAATATTAGTGATTTTAGTATGTCTTCTCTCATTTCTTAAAGAAGAAATTCACATAATTAAAAAGACTTTTCTTAGAAATATTTTCCCCCAGGGAGTTTGTTTCTAAAGAATTGTCAAGACATATAGCAATTTTCTACTTTTAAAAATAGATATCAGAACACATTTTTTTGTCAGTTGCTTTATTAATTTTATATAAAGCCAGAAGTCAAATAGATAATTCATAATGTACTGTCTCCAGGAGAAAACCACGAGACGTCTTTGAGCATGAAATTTAAGAGACAGGCTTTTGGACATCAGCATAAAACTATGGTGCTTTGTTTAGTAATATCCAGGACTATGTAAAACACAATTTCATTTTTAGAATAGCTAGTTACATTTTATTTAGTCCCTATTGATGGGGAGTTGGATGGATTCTTTTCATGTTTAATTTTTGCATGCATGGAAGTTATATTTTGGAGAAAGTACCTAAACTGTCTCCTCTTTCTGTTTTTTTCCTTCAGTCCATTTGCTATCCCTGCATATCACCAATATTACTCCTGTAGAAATGACTCCCCCAAGAGAGAATCCTTTGCATTTATAAAACCACATCTGCCCAGGATAGTCTAGATAGGGAAGAGGAAAATCTGGCTGACACTGAAGTCAGGCAGATATAAATCACTCCACTGCTGTTCCAAGGTTTTGACTTCAGTTGAATTAAAAGGAAATTGTCTCTGTGTTGGTGTTAGTGAACGTTTCTGTTGACGAAAATGTTGTAGGCATGTTAATGCAGGATTTGCTTCTGAAGATGTAGCTTCTGAGCCCACAGATGATAAAACCCATTTGGATCTCTGCTCATTTGCAATGATTATGGCAATTGTTGCGCATGCGAAGCCAGCCACATGGCAAACAGGCATTAAAATATTTATCCACCACCTGTGAACAAGACTTCCCAAGGCTCTCAGAAAAAAAATTCTGTTCACTGTGTTATTCATTAAAAGGCATCATTTTCTTCAGCCATTTAACATTCATCATATTTGAGTGCGTTAGTGCTTTCATCAGGGATAGAGAACAATTTCTACAAAGACAAAACAGTAGAGTTGCTGTTATCTCCCCGGGAGGTTTGTGGGGCTTCCTGTGCATATACACATGTCTTGTAATCAGATTAAAAAGCATTAACCAGCTCGTTCCACACTTTTCAGATACTGAATGAGAGAGCTGCAAAGGAACTCGAGCAGTTTCAGATGAGAAATTTTAAACTTCAGCAAGAAAACGAACAACACAGTTTGGTTTGTGAGCAACTAAGCCAGGAAAACCAGCAGAAGGCGTTGGAGCTCAAAGTAAACACCAAGAGATATATCTGTTCCCTAACTCTTCCTTCCTCTTTACCTATTAACACAAGTTTGCCTTTGTGGTTGGAGCCCTTAGTGGGATAACCTGTGTTAGCTCCACCGAGTGCTTGGACTCATCAGAGGCAAGTGCAAACCTACAGCCATTGCTTTAGCCCCAGAGGCAGAGAGTTTGGTAACTTCCATTCTTACTTATAAAATTGCAAACCTGATGATTGATCATGTGGTTATGCAAATGGTTTCCAGAGCGAGCTCAGGTGTTCATCTCTGTAATTAGTTTTGCAAGTAACCAGTTGCCCAGAGCTAGAAACCATTCATATGTGTGAGTAGCAAATAATTCAGATTATATTTTACTACTTGTATGGAGAAAGTGAGATGGGTGGGCTAGGGGCTGGACTGGGACTATTTAGTATTTACTTACAGGATTACGGAATCATGATTTTCACGTCTATCCAATATACATTTCAAGACAGTTTTCCCATCTTTTTCCTTGCCTTTACTGAACAGTGCTTGCAAATTAAGTTTGGATAACAGTTTATACTCAGATACGCCTACATGCTTAAAGGAGCAGCTTTTATGTTTATGACTTTAATTCTGACAAAATCCATATTCTCTACTCTGGTTCTGCTAGAATGCCAGGCCTAAAAGGACTGGCCTAGCACGAATAATATGTAGATTTGAGCAGTGAACCTTAACATTTTGGGATCACAGTCTCTTTTGAGAATCTGATGGAAGCGTGCACATGTACACACACTTACCTGCACATCTCGGATCTGGTGTTGCATGCATCCCAGAAATATAGGAGGTTTCCAAGAGTTTTCTGAAGTATAACGACAGGGTCTGGATAAATAACCACTGAATTGGATCATCTTGGAATTGGAAGGGGCCTTACGGTCAACTAATCTAACTCCTATAGGGTCTGAAGCTGAGGAACATTTAAAGCCGTCTAGAATGGGTTGACTTGAAACCATTCTTTATGAGAATGCAGTAAACTGAAGCATAGATGAGATGACTACTTAAGTCAAAATAACATATTAACCCTAAGCTGAAATTAGGTAAAAATACTCAGGCCGTTAATTTTCTCCTTTGATAACATGAATGGGGCATCTTGAAAGATGGACTGTTTCTGTTATCAGATCCTGAACCTTATGGGATTCGGCCTCTAGCAGTAACTTTAGGATAAAATGAACAGCTAATTTCAGTCTCCTCACTGTCATGAGCTGATATAATTGCTAACCTTTGTTTGCAGAAGAATCCCTAGCTGCTTTTCCAGTCATTTCTAATGATGAATTTAAAACAAAATTAATTTAATTTAAATTTCAAAAAATCCATAAAACTTGAAGCCCATAGACAAAAATATGGTGCATTCCTTTGCTAGGATAACTTCTTTGGTAACTTTTGCCATCATGCAGATTGCCTGTTCATACTGCCATGTCCGCCTAACTGAATCTACACCCACAGACTAACATGCTTGGAGGAAGGAGGACCCTTTCTCCAGTGTATGTAATGGGGTGACATGGGCCTTGTAGGTCCAAAAGAGTGTTTGAATATTTTATGGCATGCAAATAACCTTCTGAGAAAGGTCATTTTGTAAGTTCATGAAAATTGCTAATCAAATACAGTATTTGTATACACAATTCATGTATATTTAATACATACAACTCAGCATTCTTATCTTATTTGATTCCACAATTAGATGGTACCTTAAAACATCAGAATTCATCAGTCTTTGTATTATTTTTAGCTTATATAGCCACATATTTTATTCGGAGAATAGGGTTTTTCAATTTCTTTCAAAACCAAATAGTGCATTTTGACTTAATCTCAGAGAACAACTTTACACTGACATGGGAAGAATTTCCTTTTATTGGTTCTGAGTTTACCAGCATCCAGTCACTGGCTCTTTATTTGCTCAGTGTCCTGGTTAATTCTCTCTCACTGATCATAGGCCAAAGAGGAAGAAGTCCATCAGATGCGCCTTGACATTGGGAAGCTCAACAAAATCAGAGAACAAATCCATAGAAAACTGCACCAGATTGAAGATCAAAAGGCAGACGTCGAACAGCAAAAGGAAACCCTAAAAAATCAGATCTTGGGACTAGAGCGAGGTAAACCATTTTCCGCTTTATTAATTCACAAACGTTTTATTGGTGACTAATGTCATCAAGGCTTCATGTGTACGAACACAAACCATGCCAAATGAAATGAGTAAAACAACAGTCTGGGATAAGACTGCACCGAGAATCAGTGGAACAAAAATAAATGGCTTCTAACATCTTTTCTCTGCTAGTACTTTACTATGTGATGAACCCCTGTTTTATCCAGCTATAACTGACCGATGGAAGAAAAATTTAAGTGCCTTGGGGAGGTACAGAGGAATCAGGAGGCATACAAACTCTGGAGTCAGAGCTGCCCAGGGTTAAGCTCCTCCTTCAATTGCGTCTGTTTGTTGGGGGCTAGAATGAGCTAATACACTTAGAGCACTTGCAGACAGCGCCTGGCACACAGTAAGTGCTAATTAAGTGTCATCTATCATCATCCGGATATATTGCTGTTTTCTGAATAAGAATATAATTAAAAATACAGTGTGCTTGTGAAATTTGGTGAGGCAGAAACAGCTCTGGACTTGGAGATGAAGAAGCCGGGTGTGGATTCCGGCTCCACCGGCACATGTGAGGGAGGAACACCTGGGCCCCACCGGCCCCAGGCAGGCTGCTGTGAGTTATAAGTCATCACTCATTCACCAATGAATGTGAGAACATCCATAAAAGCACAAAAGCATACATTGTCCCATTAAAAGTGAGGTAAAATATAAATCTCTGGATAGAATTATTAGAACTATTTATCAAGTGCAGATATTTTTGCTTTTAAGAGACATAAGGAAATAGTCCTTTTATTGAGGTGCAGCTGCAGCTTATTTTGAAAGTTTCTCCATTCACCCACTCAACAAACTGAGTACACACTATGTGCAGGCACTGTGCTAGGCCTTGGGTGCAAGGAGGACTCTGCCCTCAGGATACCTACAGTCTAGAGCAAGTTTGCAGTCTGACGTCCTCGGTGACAGAGAGGGAGAAAAACGGAAGGACAAGAGCACATTTTGTAACTGGCTAAGTGACTGTCAAACACTCCCGTATTTAAATTTCTATGGTTTTGCTTGAGATAGTTCTAAGCTTTGAATTATTTTTTATCCATTCAACATTGAACCTAATTCTTCATCCTTAAATCATGTATACAAAAGTCATCATTATCTCTCTTCTGGTTATTTTATAGATATCATTAACATTGTTATTTCTTCTTAGGGCCTTTTTCCTTTTGATGTGCCCGATCACAGAATGGCATTGGGCATAACGGTTAGAAGCATGGGTCCTCCACATGTTGTGATTTTCCTACCACAAAACCCATGAAATGAACTAAAAAACTAGCAGAACTAACAAGAGAGTTCAATAGGGTGGCCAGATTATAAAATAAATGTACAGATATCAATAGCTTTTTTTTTAATGACCCCAAATCAGACTATATGATGGAAAAACCCCCTTTCAGAATAGCAACTAAAGTAACAAAATATCTATGAATAAAGTTATCAAGATATCTGCAAGACCCATATATAAAACAAGCTACAGGATACTATTGAGGGGTATAAAGGAAGACTTGAAAGATGGAATGATATATCAAGTTCTTGGATGGGAGAATTCATTAGGAAAAAGGTATAAATCTGTCCAAGTTAATCTATGCATTTAATTTTTCTAATAAAAAGTTCAATGAGTTATGTTGTATAGGATTCAGAAACTGATTCTAGAGTTCTTCCAGAAGAATAAACATATGACAATAGCTATAAAATTCTGGAAAAAATAAGTGATGACAGAACATTTGCCTTACCAGATGTTTAAATGTATTATAAAGCTTCAATAATTAATTAGTGTAGTGATGTTGTCTGAATAAATAGATCAATGGAAAAAATTGGAAAGGCCAGAAAAGATCCAAGATTATCATCTATGATAAGGTGTTTCATACTAATGTGCAGTATGGATTATTAAGAAAATGGTAGCATGACCATAAGCTACTTTTTTTTGGGAAAAAGGTTAACACTGAATGTTTAAACCATAAAGGCAAGATTGAGAGATTCAATGAAATTAAAAGTTAAAATTATCTGTGTAGCAAAAGACTCTATACATAAAGGCAAATTGGCCAAAAGGTTGTCAAAGTTTGTATCTTTATTCTATACAAGGGCTTTTAAAAATCCATGGAAAGGATAAACAATTTACAAAAAAAATTGGCAAAAGGAAAATGTGAGCAATTTAAAAAACAGAAATATAAATAAATGGTCATTAAACATGAAAAAGTCAGCTTCACTACTAATCAAAGAAATGAAAATTAAATACACATTGGTTTTTAAAAATCTATCAGATTGTCAAAGATCAAAAACAATGATAATATCCAGTGGTGGTTTGGGTATAGATTTAAATTGCTATTAATTTTCTAGAGAGAAATTTGGTAGTGGGTGAGAAATGTCTTAAAAAAATCCTCTTTGATCCAGGATTTCCTCTTCCAGATGAAAAATTGAATAAGAACTTTCACAGGATTATTGCTTACAACTACAAAAAAAAAAAAATTAGAAACAACCTAAATGTTAAAATGGTGGATTGGCTAAATAAGTTATGCATTTTCACACAGTGTAAAACCATGAAGTTAATAAAAATTCTTTTGTTGATATACATTTATAATCTATTAATAAAAAGGCATTTATTCTTTGTTAATTATAAAACCAATCTACAAAATAGTTTGTGTAGTCTGATTCCTTTTGGGGTATGTGTACATTTATAAGTAAACTTATATTTACTTATTTATGTGTTTATACTTATATACACACACATATATGGGGAAGAAGCCTGGGAAGAAACATATCAAAATACTAAGCAGATTCTCATTGATTTACCTTTTTTATCCTTTTGTTTATTTGTATCTCTAATTTCATTCTATATTTCCATTTGTATAATAAAAAAGTTTTTTTTATAAAAACAAGACCTTTTAAAAAAACCAAGTACACCCAGTTTCTAATCTCAGCCCTCTCTGTCACCTCTTGGCTTCAGACTTTTGGCAAATGGTTTAATCTCTCTAAGCCTCGGTTTCCATCTGTTTAGTGGGACAGGAAGGACCTACCTTACTGAGTCATAACAGAAATCACATAACACTCAATGAATAGTAGCTTTATAGCGACAGACAAACATGTAAAGCAGTTTTTTTTTTTTTTTTTATCTCTTTGGCTTTGGCAGATTCTAAGGTTGACTCTGCACTGACTGTTTTCCCCCCTCTGTTATTATGTAGAGGTGGAGGCTTCCAAAAAACAAGCAGAACTTGATAAGAAAGCAATGGATGAGCTTCTGCGAGAAAGGGACATACTAAACAAGGTGAGTTTGTTACAGTAGCACTGGGGAATAAATGTCTTTCTTTAGTGCTACGATATTTGCCTATAACCAGTCACACGGGAAAGAAAACTCTAAGGCAAACAAAAGTAGATTGGAATAAATAATAGTGCTTAATTTTCCTCTAAGCAGCTGCCTACAGTTTACCATCCACTGGCCATAAATTGAAACTGCATTATCACCTGTGAACACAAAAAGACTTTGGAGAATTAGCATATAAACCAGCAGGGGATTTCCGAGCAGCGTTTTGTGGATTCCATTTTCATTGCTGATGTGTTATTTGGCATCCTAAGCAGCTGAACAACATTTCTGAATTGAATATCTATAATCTACAACTCTTGCTAATCCAAAAATTACAAGCGAGCGCTAATTAGATTTTAACTCTGAAGTGTTAGGTATAAGAATGGCAGATTGGTGACATGAATCTTCTAAGCTTTTCTTCATCTTTTCAGAATTGTTATGGGTTTTTGTTTTTGTTCTAGGTCCTTTATCTCATCTTATCTTTGAGCTCAATGTGACTCAAAGCTGGGGGGGGGGGGAAGCTTGAAGGCAGAGACCTAGAGACTCCACATTAAATGTAGGAGGATTTTTTTCCTCCCCGCCTTCAGAAGATTCCATCCATTGACAGTCAGTTTAGGAGATTAACTACTTTCAAGTATTTAGGGTAATTTTCCTACAGGAAGGAAGAAGCCACAGGCCAGGTGTGGAGGGAGGAGCCTGCTTCTACTATAGACAGTCTGATGGCTTTTCGCCAAGACAGCTTTGTCTCATCAAAGTCGAAATGGCTTATATTTGTTCATTCTGACTTTCATTATTTTTTTAGGTTTCCCAGAATCGAACAAACATTAACAAAATAGACTATACTTTAGCCTAAAGTAGACTATTTAGAGAATCTCAGGAAATGGTAGGAGATTAAGTCATCACATGCTAAAATCTCTTTAAGAAAATCATTGACTTTAAAAAAAAATAATCCTGGGCGCTATTCCTTTATTCTATAAATTTATATATAAAAACAATAATATTGGGTTCAGATTTTTAAATTTATTTTTAACGCACATTTGATCCATTTATATTTTATAATACTGGTAAACAACCAACAGGTTTTCTACCACAATAAGAGACATAGCACAACAGTCATTTTATATTTATTTGTTTGATTTGATTCATGTCAATTTCTTCCTTTAGGGCAGGGTATGCTTTTTTTTTTCCTTTCCTGACCATTGTATTCTTAGTGCCTAGCACAGCATCCAACTCTGCGGACAGGCAATCAACTTTTATTGGTAATATATTCTTTCCCCATTGACTTGAAAGACCATCTTCATCCAAAGAATGAGTGACATAGTGTTGACCAGCAGCAACATGAATATATTTTGGTTCTTTCAGTGTCATGTTGAAGTGGCTTTATCTTTTACAGAATGGATGTTTAACCCAACACCTACCTGAAAATTCCAACTCCTAAAATGGGAGTAATGTAGTGCCCATTTCTTAGGAATGCCGTGGTTGCTAAGTGCATTTATATGTGCGTTTAAAGTGCCTTGTGCAAAGTTAACATAACAAGCTCTTAAATAAGCTTAGAGAATATGATTATTTTTGTTCATCTCAAAGACAAGTCATCTAATTATTTTAGGCATGAGTCAGGGAGTAAACTTTAGCTAGATATCCTCAAACATTATGAGTAATGTGACTGCTTTCTTGCCCTTATTTTTAGAATATGCTTAAGGCGATCAACGCGACCCAGAAGCAGATAGACCTGGTAAAGCTCCACGAACAAGCCAAGAGGAGCTTGGAGGAGGAAATCCAGAACTACAGGGAAGAGGCTCAGAAGCAGAGAAAGATCATCTTTCAACTGGAAAAGGAGCGCGATCGGTACATCAACGAAGCCAGTGACCTGACCCAAAAGGTAAGGCGCTCAGTGACGCTGTGGGCGGAGCACAGCACACTCTTTCCTCCGCATTTCCGATTGTCACACGCTGCTGCAAAGAGCAGTTATCCCCATTTCTGCTTGTGGTTTGCATGAGGATTTAAGAGGAATGATGCGGACGCAATACAAGCTGTTTCTCAGTTGGTCTTGGGCCAAATTGTGAAATGGACGAAGCATGTGCTTCACCTTCCAGGGCCTCCTTCCAACTTCTGGATTCTCCCTCTTCCTGCTGCCCTGCTGCGCAGCGTCCCCAGGTTGGTCTCACCAGGGCTGCTGGTGGCATCATCATCTCTCAACCCTTTATTCTCCTCCTCCCCATCTGTCACTGAAACTCTTGTCTCCTCAGAGCAAGGATTCCAACTGGTTGTTAGGAGAAGACAACCTAATCTAAGGACCCCAAATTAAGATGTAAGTGGCTACTGGCATCAGCTAGACACATCACATATTCAGAACATTTTTTTGCTTTAAAACTATTGTGAACAGAAAACCCTGCCACTAGTGGAAACCCACACACTGGGGAGCTGAGTTCTAGATGTCTAGTTCTTGTAATCTGCTTAATGGGGAGAAGGCTCAAGGACATGACTACAAGAGTGACTTAGGGATGTGGACTGTACTTTACCCAGCTGTCTCAGTGCATCGCCTGCATTCAGCGTGAGTGGTCAAACTAGAACTCTCCCTAGTGCATTTATAGATGGCACAGAACAGTGGTCGAGGGATGGGGTCGGGTGGTGGGGACTGGAGAAAAATTTTAGCTATGAGGCTGAGAAGAGAGTTTGGGAGAAAAGACTTATTTATTTATTTATATATTTTTTGTACCAGAGATAGAAGCATTTATTGCATATATTGCTTTTTTTTTGTAGCACATATATAGAAACATTTTTTTAAAATTTTTTTTTTTATTTGAGACAGAGTCTCGCTTAATTGCCCAGGCTAGAGTGAGTGCCGTGGTGTCAGCCTTGCTCACAGCAACCTCAAACTCCTGGGCTCAAGCAATCCTCCTGCCTCAACCTCCCCAGTAGCTGGGACTATAGGCATGTGCCACCATGCCCGGCTAATTTTTTCTATATATATCAGATGGCTAATTAATTTCTTTCTATTTATAGTAGAGACAGGGTCTCACTCTTGCTCAGGGTGGTTTTGAACTCCTGACCTCGAGCGATCCGCCCGCCTCGGCCTCCCAAAGTGCTGGGATTACAGGCGTGAGCCACCGCGCCCGGCCCTAGAAACATTTTTAAAAAGTGATTTTAACAACTTTCATCACTTAAAAAATGCAGCTTCTTTATCATTCATTATTAAAACTTCACATTCATGTTCAGTGGACAGATTTTGCATAGTTATTATTTTTTTAAAATTACTTACTAGGTGACATATTATAAAGTGGTACATGTTCCAAGCAACAGGTAAGCAACTTTGGAACACATGTCTTCTTATAGAAGAAAAATGCACCACTAACCTTTAGTTCCATAATGTAAGGATTATAGAGTTACCAGAAGGGGAAGAAGAAAACACTCAAGGGCTGGATAAGCTAATTGAAGATATAATAGAGGAAAATTTCCCAGGCTTTGCCAAAAATCTGGATATACAAGTTCAAGAAGCTCAAAGGACCCCTGGGAAAGTCAATGCAAACAGGAAGACATCATGACATGCAGTCATCAGACTGACCAAAATATCAACTAAAGAAGTCCTTCTATGAGCTGTAAGATGAAAGAAGCAAGTAACATACAAAGGAAAGCCAATCCGAATAACGCCAGACTTCTCTACTGAACCCTTACAAGCAAGGAGAGACTAGGGCCCCATTTTAACTCTTCTGAAAAGACTCATTTAATCACCCCATCCCCCACTCCCTGCCAGCAAATGTCTGCTAATGCAATGTAAGCCCTTTCTTTCATCCATGTCTTCAGTGAAATCCACAGTAAATTTTATGGTGTTGACCAATGCTCTTGCATACTTAAATTTGGTCTTGTTTCTTGGAGTGAAATCCCAAAGAAGATGACAAGGTGACAGCCAACAGTTTTTTTTTTTTTTTTTTTTTTGAGACAGAGTCTCACTCTGTTCCCTGGGCTAGAGTGCTGTGGTGTTAGCCTAGCTCACAGCAACCTCAAACTCCTGGGCTCAAGAGATCCTTCTGCCTCAGCCTCCCAAGTAGCTGGGACTACAGGCACATGCCACCACGCCTGGCTAATATTTTCTGTTTTTAGTAGAGACAGGATCTTGCTCTTGCTGGGGGGATGTAGGGGGGTCTGGAACTCCTGACCTCAAGTGATCCTCCTGCCTCAGCCTCCCAGAATGCTAGGATTATGGGTGTGAGCCACCATGCCCGCCAAAAGCCAACATTTTAATTGTACACATAAAGAAAGGGGGAAACGAGCTTTACTAACAGGAAATCAGCTTCTTCCCACTTAGACTAAATCCGTACCGAGCAGATGCTTACCAGGGGATTCTCACACCCCCGATTGGGAGCCACGGAGTGCAGCATATTCCCCTCCTGACTTAATCATCTTAGAAGCTCTGCTGATGGATTTACTGACTCTGAGAGGACGAGTTGTCAGGTCAAGCACTGGAATTCTCGACATTGTGCTAGCACATAAGCTTCTGTGTTCGTCTTCTTACACTGTAACAAATAACCTGCAAACCTCAGTGGTTTGCAGCAAGAAAGATCTATTTTTTGCTCACATTAATGGCCTTTGAGGGTCAGCTGCAGCCCCGCTTCATGTTCTTTTCACTCCAGGCAGACTCTTTTGGGATGCACCGGCCTCTTGACAAAGGGAAAAGAAGGGAAGACTGGGCCCTCTGAGCTCCTGCCGACAAGGGGAGGGCACGGGGCCTGTCCGCTCATATTCCACTGGCCAGAGCAAATCACATGGCCACACCTGACAATCTTGGGTGGGAATGTGGTCCTCCTAGGGGAAGAACCTTGTAGGGTGAGGCAGCAAATATATTTGAACATACGGTATCCTCTATTGCAGCCTCCTATTTCATCTTCCTGATAAGCAGGCTCTCTTCACTCCAGGCTGCCACCAGGCCACCGTCAGAGCAAACGTTTAAAAATTCTAATGTGGTTTTATTATTGTGCTGGTTTTATGAACCTCTGTCGCCTCTCAGCTCCTTGGGGCAGTGCTTTCTAACATTTTTCTCCACACAGCACAGGTAGAAAATGGCATATCAATGACACATGCAAGAAGGGGATGAAGCTGTTCAGGGCTGGAGGGGACTAACCCAGGGATGCCAGCTGCCCAGGTCCCACCCGCCCATCTGTGGGTAGAGTGCGTCAGTATTTTGGTACACACGCGTAACCTATGTGAGGCACAGAAGTTGGGACACTCTGACCTATAGGATAGAATCCAAGCTCTTTGTTCTCCCTGGAAAGTCCTTCCTCCCCTCCTCTGCATGGCAAACTCCTATTCATCCTTTAAGACCCGGCTCAAATGCTCAGACCAAGCCTCCTCTGACTCCCTTGGTGGAGCCAGGTGATTCCTACTTTATGGATTTGTTGACATCTCTGGAACGACACTTATCAACCTCTAGTGTAATTATTTATTTGCATACTGGTTTCCTCTACTTTACAGTGAGCTCTTGGGAACACGGACTTTATTCCACTCATTTCTTTATTTCCAACATCCTGGAGCATAGTCAGCACCAAAAAAGTATTTCTCAAACAGATAGATAGATGATGAGTGTAAAAAAACACAGCCACATATTTTAATATAAGATTGTATATTTTTCTCCACTTCTTTGTAAAGGAAAGATTCTGACACCAAGTTTTGCTCTTAACTGTTTTTCACAAGTTCTGATATTTAACTGCACAGGTTATATAATGTCACACCTAAATAATTTAAGCACAAGCTCTCAAAATATTACTTATCACTTACAATATTTCTATCTCTTTCTTAACCCTTGACAGCATATATCAGTTGCCATAGCAACGTGTGCCATCTCTGGACTTCTTATTAAGGACATGTTTGTCTTTTGCCCCTCACCATATACTTTTTTTCTTTACTGTCCAACATACACATGTGCACACACACACACACACACACACACACACACACACACACCCACACACACCCTCTACCTAATTCCCACAAACAAAAAGCTCCCTTTTGTACATTTTATTTATAGATCATTGAGGAATAACACCAAGGGCTGGGGAAGATGTCATAAAGTTGACATTTTTATCTACTTCTAAAGTAAGTATACATTATTCCAAGCTTATCCTTTTGATCCAGAATTTTCTTTTGTAAAAACTGAATCTAAGCAGAAAAAGAAAATTAAGAAATGCAAGGATTTTTATAAAAGAATATTCTTCAAAATATAATTTATATTCCTGAAAAATAGAAATCAGCCCAAATGTAAACTAAAAAGGTTAAATAAATTATGCTACATTTATTTGACACAATATTATGTAGCTGTTAAAAATCATGTGTTTGAAGACAAATGTAAAATTATTTGCACATATAATTTTGTTTGTGTGCATACTGAAAAGATTGGAGGCATACTTAATGGGGTGATCGAGAGGATTCAATGAGATAATATTTGTAAAATACAGCAATCTTTGGCACATTACGTAAATGATAAACAAATTTGTTGATAGATAGTCCAGTTTTTCCTCAGAGTGCCATTTGAATGTACCTATTCTCAACTTCTTGTTAAATGTCAGTAAGTTTCAGACATTGATGAAGTGTTTCATCAGCATAAACATTAAGGCTGACATGAAGCCTGATGTTAAAATATAAGAGAATGGATGAGAATTTTAAAGAGGTGAATTGGGAAAAACTTGGACCTCAACTCATGGTCCCTTCAATTTGCTTCACAGAAGAGACAACCTGAGAGGAGCTGGAAAGATGCTTGGGAACTCTCCCCCCATCTCCTACTGACTCAGGGTCTGGATCACCCAAGAACTGATTCGGTGTCTCTTTGTGTATTAGTCAGGGTTCTTCAGATGAACAGAACAAGTAAGGTATATACACATATAAAAGGAG